AACTTAAAATTTTATGTTCAAAATGCCGCGTAAAATCATGTAGCCATTTCCATTACTTGAAGATAATAATTTTTGAAATTTCGGCAGATGCAAGATGACAGATATGGACGTTAATGTTAGCTCTACTTTGTAACCTTTTATATTTTTGATCTTTAGGAACCTCTATACATCAAAAGTTTGTACCAAATTTGATTGTAGTGTTTGATTATATTAACTTCATTAGTATATTGATGATTTTAGAATTGAAATTTAAAAGTAACCCTTGTCCACACTATTGTCCAATGAATTATGTTTATTTGGAAGAGAGTGTTGCAGCTATCCATGAAAAAGATACATTCTGTTAGAATTGGATTGAATAGCAATAAAGCAACAAATAAAGACACGTTTCTCAACACTTTCGCAAAGCTGATGAGATGTTTAGCAAAGAACGCATTTAGGTATCGGACTATAGGTGGAAAGTTATTCACTTTCATTCTTCTGTAAAGCAAAAACTTTTGTCAAACTACAGAAGTGTAGTCAGTGTACAAACTTGAACAAACATGCATAAACATACTAATGACTCTAAAACTGTGAACTTTTATTTGCACTTCTCGGAAAGACTAGTTATGTTATCGATTTGGAATCACGAAACGCTGAGAACCATAGTAGGTCTTGTGTATGACATACTGTCTTGTCGATTTGCGGTAACCGAGGGCCGTTTGTAATATATTCCTTAACAGCTCTTGAATAACAACTGTGCTGTGCTGCGACTACTTGGGGACAGAACAAGTTTATAGATGCATAATTTTAATTATTATCTGTTTGTCGATCTACCGACCTCGGCAGTCCCAGAATTTCAGAGCTCTGTGGTAGAGTTAGGGAATCCCTGTCCTACAGGTTAAGCAAATCATGTGTGATATTTCATGTTCTCACGCCGGCAAGAATTAAGATGACTGTCTTCTGGGCAGAGAGGCCGTGTAATCAGGTTGACGTTCATCGAGGTTTTAATAATGCATGCTGCCTCCATCATCAATGCGATGAGGCCTGATGATGGAGACAGTAAGCACCTCTGAAACGTCGATATGCGCCTACCAGACTACACGGCGAAACGGCTGAGAAGTCACTTATTTTGCAAGACGTATGATTGTGGCTGACAGAGCAGGTGGACACCGGATCTTAACAAAATTTGACGTGCGCTTGCAGTGTAATAAGTGGTTTACGTAGATTAAACTTTCATTCTGAGTAGATGCTGCCTGCATGCCATAGTGTGAGAAATTGATGAATTACCTTCTTATGTACACTTGTTGATCTTATTATTCTAAGAAGCATTGCTTATGTATTATAAAACAGGCCGACTAAGCCCTGCCGCAACACGCCAACGTCTAAGCTACACAAATACAACCTCAACCGGAAGTGCATATACTCAGCGACTTATATTTCCTTCGACCCTTTGTGACGTATTCAAGAGCAACTTCAGCTTCTTAACGTAGACCTGAGCATTGACACACGAGTTCGGTATTCAAGGTTTATCTAGAATTTTGTTTGCTAAAGAACTGTCTCTGCACTTAATTCAGATGCGTTAAATCACAGCCAACTTGCTCAATGATTTGCTCGATTAATCTTCATGGCGTTGATAAAGGTAAATTGGTCTTTAGGATATGAGTGTGTGGTGGTAAGCTGTACCTACTTAATGTACTATTTGTAGGACAAAGTTTTGAAAAAAATAAACTTTCTTCTTGCTATATGTGTCATGTATTTCTCCCAAAGTTTTGAATAGTTTTGCTTTCAGCGTAACTACAATACACATAACTGATTACTTAACCGAGATCTGTCTTTAAATTCCGTTGGTGCGTTATATAACAATATTAAATCAACTATGGAGATAGTTGGATTCCGAAATTAATGTGAGGTTGGTTACCAAATATTAATAATTATATATGAGGTTTATTATAAGCGATTAATTATTCTTGCGTCAGTATAACACCTTCAATGAACGAAATTCGGAAGTACATACGCCTTCTGTGTCCTTAAAATTAGTTCCAACTTGGAAGTTCGTTTTTAGTAAATGTGTCAAAATTTTAGACGTAGTAAGAACCGCCATGGGGCGTGTATGCCGATTGAATGTTCCGTCACTGATAGTTAATCCGTTTTAGCAATTGATGCCCGAATTACCCTACCAGTTCGTTAACAGTTTTGTGAATTTATGAGTAGTTTTTTGAGAGAACTGCAAATGTTGGCCTCGTTACAGATTTTATTATTTTATAGCATTTCCCTGTCGTTTTGAAGATACTTTCTTCTCCATTCATCTCACACTTGACATTTACCCGAGAATTTGTCTTGGAAATCTTCCCTTTTCTTCCAATGTAACTGTTTTATGTTTTATAGCGATTTTATGTATAACCTGATGGGCTTAAATCATTCTTCATATAATGTAAGTCTATAATGGGAGAGGAAGCTAGTGAGTATTCTGATCTATGATAGAACACGAAGAAAATCACGGATAAAAATACGTGAAAGTTAATCCCGTGCGATATAAAACCCAATGGCTCATATCAGAAACAGGGCAAAACTCATTTTTATAGTTCGTGTCTTGACTTATTTATCTGAGCTAGTCGGTATTAGATGCTTTAGATACAAGGAATATATTTTATTAGAAGATTGTGAATTCCGAACGTTATAGTAGGAAGCAACAGTGGCTTATTTTAAGGCAAATTTTCTGTCATGACCGAAGAAAATTGATAACCTGAGGATACCAGTATCCGGAGAGGATTCGAATAGGCGTTCCAACCACTGTATCGCCCGTTATTAGTTATATGTATAACAATAACTTCGATTTTCAGTATTCATTGACCGTCCTGTGCATGTAAATAAAGAGGGTCCTTCATAATAGTGAAATATGACAGCCTTCGTCATGGAGAGTGTATTGATTTAGCTCATGTTTGATAGTGGTTGCTCTCACTTATCAAGGCTGTGATGAACGGGGAGGACTGCTCTGTTATTCACACAGCTAATTTGTTGAACATCAGCTTCTACCTGTATCCAACTCCGAGCTTCATATTTTGTCCACGATGATTGACCGGAGAGTTCATGGAAAACATACGACAATTTATCATTCATTGAACCCATAGTTTAGTTTGTAAGCACCTTGTCGACCGCAAGTTATCAGGTAATCAGAGGTCATATTTTGCTTTATGTTTTCTTTTAAAGCTTTCAGCTGTGAGGTACAGAGCCAATGATAGATATATGTTGAATTTTCTATTCACGCCCATACATTCAGTGCCGCGTAAATAGAAGCCTTACTTGTTTATTCAGCGCTACGTAATGGGCCTGCTTTTCGTTTGAATCTTTTCGTTCAGTGAACGGTAGTGGAATTATTTATTTTAATTAATTTATTGTATCACATATTCCAATAATCTCTTACTTATTGCTTGTAACAACGTATTATAATACTAATAACATGATAGTTCAATCTCGTAGTTGGAAAATGAAAATGAGTGAGTTGAAAAAATTACGTATTTTCGTTTTAGAATGAAGTGTGTGACATAACGTATCTTGTATGCTTCACCGGTGTGACGTCACATGGTGACAAGGTTTATAAATCCAAGATAAATACTTTGTGCGTTAAATATTGAATTATCTATCAACCACAAAAGAGAGAGAGAGAATAAATATCAGCTGGGGGGCAAAAGTATTTGATATTATACATTTCCGATATTCCATTCTTAATGGCATCGTCTGTGTTCATGCTGTTCAAGTTCTAATTTGTTGTTCTTTTAAAGACTCTGTATCAGTAGCAGAGCCTATTTAGTGTTGAATAAAATGAGCTAGTCGAGAATGAATGGTATGAAAAGAGTAGGATGTCCTGTATTTCAGATCACGATAACTAAATTTGCTGAGGCGAGTTAGCGTTGCGCATAGATTCTCAGGATAGACACCTCCGACCGAGAGTCGAGTTTGGTACCAACAGAATGTAAATGATTACTGTTCGACTTTGGATTGTATTCCAGTACTCTTCAGGGCGTCGTCCATTCGCATTGGGTTTACCTTTTCGTCTTCCTACTCCTCTCCGTGATATTAACACGAAAGTTTCCTCAAAATTCTGAAACTGGCCAAGGTATTTATACGCCTATGGCACTATTTATCATATCAAAAATAAATAAATATTGTACACCATTCTGGTTTACGTATTCTCGCTGTCTTCAATACAAAGTGTTATATCCGGCATTGTAATTTCTTTCAGGCCGACCTCGACCGAGGGTGACATGGTTCCTGGAAAACACTATCATAGACGACTCGTATACACATGAGCCGAATGACGTCACGACAAACCACCTGTCTTTCCCCAACATCGGGCGACAACACCTGAACGCTAGATTAATCTGCCAAGCATCTAACACAAACCTCACTCATGCACAGTCGGAAGTCGTCGTTCTGGATGTGAACCGTGAGTATAAATATTGTTGTTTTAACATTTATTACTGTTATGCAATTTTCATACCTATTACAGGGCTTATGTTCATGAACCTTGGTCAGACCACATTCCTCAAGTTTATTATGTAGTAGCTTCTATAAAATACTTTTGCAATTAATAAAGTGCTAATTTATTATCTTCCTCAGAATATCTTTTTGTAAATCCAATTTGGATTGCCTTGGAAATATTTTTCTGGCGTTTTAATTAATTTTCGGGCTTTCAGACAGACAGAGGATATGATTTCACAGGTAGAATAGGCTTATTCCCGGATAAACGACTCAATTTTAGTTACTACCATAGAATTGATAAACAGGCCCACAGGCAAATTAGAGAGCTTGCTGTATTTTTGTGATTGAAAGTACTCGTAGGGGACTGTTTGACTTGTTTGGCGTGACCAGTCTACGTTATTTTGAACATGTTGATCCTTCGAAAGATAAGTCTCCAACTTTCCCATTCGGTTGGAAGCCAAACAGACTTTGTTTTTCTGTTTATTCACAGTAAAGCCTGTCGCAGTTCACATTACGACTAAGGACAAACAAGTCTCTGCTGATAAACGTTACGACGTGGAATGCAAATCTTCAGGTTCGAGGCCAGAGGCAGTCATTACGTGGTGGAAAAACAGCCGTCAAATAAAACGAATCACCAAAAACGTAAGTTTTATTTTGTCATTAGTCATTCATGATTTCGATTTCAGCGGTGTAGACTAGAAATCAATAACCAATTGAAAGTAGAAATTTGTTCAAAGCCTACATGATGACCATTCCATAATTCAAAACAAACAATACAATAAAATTTACTTAAACGTATGCTCTGCCCCGTCGAAATATAATTAATATTTAAATGTCTGATAAGATGATGTTATGAAATTTGTTTCGTGATCCACAATGTGAGATTCCAGAACCGATCGATTTTATGTTCTGAAAATATACGTCTCGAAGTTTTGAAGATGTATCAGTGGTTTCGTTTACAACGTATCGGTGAAGGATTAAATGTCTACGAGGTTTAGAAATATTCTCCATGGCACATCTATTGTCCAGAAAACCACCTAAAAATCAACAGTAAGTCAGTAGAGAAGTTACTTGGGAAGATATGCTTCAGCTGCAGTAAGCATAGCTTACAGATTATGATCCAGCGTGATGCTGTACCTCGCTCACTTTTAATTTGTCATTGAGCTTCCACGTCCCGTGGGACAGGATGATCCCAAGCCAGAACGTGCGATTACCGGATTTGTTCTGAAGGTCGTACACACCCCACAACAGAGGCTTTTCTAAGTGTGAAGAAGAGGTGTTATCAGTGACCAATCGAGGAACAATATGTACTTCACGTGCTTGTACATCGTAGCGTAGCGACGGTGCAAAAATTATAAAGATTAACTTTAAATATGAATTTGTTCATGGTCATGAACTGTGAACAGGAATTAGGAAGAAAAGAATCCTTTGTGGCTCAGTTCAAAAGTCAAAATATTAAGGATATAATCAGTGAGATCAGAAGAAGGAATTAAAGGCTGCAGTGAAAAGACCTTTTTAAATATTCAAGTTCTTGCTTAAAACCACGACAGGTCTTCGTGCCATCTTAACTGGAATTATGTAACTAATGACGATCCTCGCCAATCTTCCACCAATAAGTGGGAGACTTTCTTCTTCTTCTTCTTCTTCTTCTTCCTTTTCCGGTACCCTTTACGGGTCCCCAATAGTGGGAGACTTTTTATGTGTAAAAACAGTCTAAAACTACATTTTGGCCAAAACTAGTTAAAGCCTTTTTTTACTTTGGACTCTAAAATTCCAGTATAAATTACGTTGTCACGGACAAAATAATGCTCACAGGCTGTCAGCGAACAGTTTCGCACATTGTTATTTCTTAACACCGCTTGAACCTTAGGTCCGTATTGCACAAAGAGGCTGGTCCCTCTCAGAATCGTAGATTTTAACGTAACATTAAGAATCCTCATCAATATGCAGGCCTTGAAACTGTTGGTTGAAATGTTTTTTCAGTATTTTGGATACTTCACGATCTTTTTTTCAGTGATATCACTTTCGTGTGCATAATTTGGTAGCAATGTAAATTTGCAATAAGTGGATTTGGTTCTGTAACCAGATATCTTCAGTAAGTGATAAATGCAGAATCCTGACGAAATATAAGATAACTAACTTAATTTATTCATACTGATTCGGGATAAACAATGGTTGTAATAACGTTTCATTTTCCAAGACTATGTGTGACAGTGACTGTATAAGGTAGAAGAATGGTTTATCTTAGGTTCATCTCCTGGATTTCATCCAACCTAATCTTACTAAAATGGCCGTTACAATCTTCCTGTAACTGTGGTTTATGTACGTGTATGGGAAGGGATTTCATATTTATGCTCGGTCTGCGAAATCTGGCAGTAAATATGGGTCTTTGTGTAGACAGGTTTTGCTTGAAATATTACGCGAAATGCAGCTCCGATAACACGGCATCTGTTTCTGGCCTAGAGTGTCCATTTATTCGGAAATTGCACCTACGTGTTTGTTCCCATCCTCACTGAAAATTGAACATTATTTTTACTCCGAAATTAGAGCAAATTTGTAACTTTGGTTCTTATCAGCTGTATCCTCAGTCAAATCGTACTTCTGTCACTTTTTGTACCAATTAACTACCCGAATATCGATATAATATTCCGAAATATATAGTGTGTAAATGTTTTTGAAATACCCCATTATAATAAATCAAATTCCTGCATTAATCGTAGTGAGCCTTGGTTAAATTCGTGTTTTTCAACTTTCAGCCGATGCGTTCCACCAGTTTGTAACCTTCCTGATGCGATTATCGTAATAACATTAGGACAATAAAATAAATTACGATTTTGTCCATAATAATAATTCCTGGTCTTCCGAATTGTTGCACCGTGTATTTTGAGGAGGAATGTGCTGCCTCCACCTGCAGTCCTGGTGATCAAGGCTAATGAAGTGACCATTATATTAGATTAGGGTCTCGAAAATTTGTCGAATTGTTAGTGCATTTTAGACATATTGCAGGATTTCTTTATCCTCGTATTCTGTGTCCATTCCATTAAAGAAAGATGGCTGAGGTAATACGACTTCCGCATAAGCTACATAAATATAGCGAATGGACCTAATATTATTATTTTACTTGATAATCTTTGAAGATAATAAAAATGAGAATTTCGAATGTATTAGGCTTAGAGTTATCCATTCAGACTATTGTAACAGATAAGACAGGTTTTTTTTTATAAAATAAGAATAATCAGTTGACATACAAATATTTTAAATACAATTTCTCTTTTTATAGTTTTATTCTGCTGCAGACTGTAATGTATTCTTGTGCCACATAACATTAACACGTGGACTTACGTGACATTAGATCAGTCCTGGATGCAAACGCCTGTGCATTTAGATGTGGCGTGGAATAAATAATGTCAAGAAAGGAACATTTGTGTTTTTGCTGCCTAGAAAAAGTAATATGTTTTCCGTGAATTTTGTGTGTACAGTATCTTCTCCTTTTGGGTTAACATTTTCAAGTCACGATCCACGCCTGGAACACTGGAGATTTTCTGTAATTCCAGGCAACATATACACAGCATTCATATTATATATGCGTCTCGCAGTTAAGTCAGGCAGAATAATATTACTCTGGTAAAGCTCTCTGAAATTACTGCTTACGTAAATGTAACATCTAGGATTCGGGAGAACAACAGTGTAAATCCGAGTACAATATTGAGAGATACATATATCGAATTAACATACGTGATCCTGCTAACTATGATGGATCTGTTGTCCTTAGCAAATCACTTTAACACT